GTCCTACCTCTTATGCAAAGATGTAAGGTACTAAATGAAGGATAACTTATAGCAGTCTTTCCTATGTTGTGCAATAGGCAAGCTGAAGGTATGTTTCAACAGTAAGTAAAGAATAAATTAAAGAGATTACTTATATCTGTATCAATACATATTCAAAGAAACACCAAACGTAAGTAATGATTACTTAATTTATGATTGGTACATACTATAAACTTGGGCCAAAAATAAAGGCCACCCAGGAGCAGCTGCTGGTGAGGCACGCAGTGGTCTTTCTTCCCAGCAGGAACACTTGACATAAACATGTTACTGCTCCACACACAGCATTTATTGTCAATCAAGTTACAGAGCTATTTAATGGTCTTTTCCCTTCACTTCAAAGAATTAAATTGGATAGGGCCAATTCGTCTCTGGAATCACCTTTCACTCTCCCTACCACATCTGCTGTGCTCAAAGGGGGTCCCTTAGGCTGACAAAGCTCAGGTTTGAACTTGTCATGCTCTAGGATGGTAAGACATTTCCAGTCATAGGTCGGTAATTATAGAACTTGCTTCTACATGAGATCAGAGTGAACCTTCTTGCCATGACTTGGTTTATATTTGTGAAATTAAATCACTTTAAATTTCTCAAATATCTGCAGAAATTGTGTGTCCATATACTAAAAATACTCTAAAGGGCCTAAAAAAGGTATCTAATAATCTCTTAGAAGAAGCTATGTTCCAGCAAATGTAACTGGAAGAACTGTGCCTCCTTAGCTGCACTGTGGTTGAAGACAAAGGCAATCTTAACTACCTCATCTACCTCTGCTGCAGCTAACACACTGCCCTGGAGGCCTTGACAAGAATCACAAACCAGAGGCTTTCAGGAGCAGAGATAGAGATTGTGGGACAAAATCTGGAATGCTTTCAACTGAGGAAAAAGTAGGTCTGGGGCAAAATTTCAGTAGAGCTAGAGTGACATACTCAACTGCTTAGCTTAAGATAGTCTAATGAAATGGGTTGAATTACAGAAAGTGCAATTCAGCTTCTGACACAGACAAGTCCCTGACAGTTCCCAAACAAAGATACATTTTTTTAAAGCTGTTGATGCAGACAACTGTAAATAAGCCAACACAGAGTGGAGGAAGAAGGAAGGTTCTATGTTTAGAAGAAAAACTGAAATGTTATGTTATTGCTGCCAGTGCAATAATAGGTGCCAAAGACAAGACAGCGGTCACAAGAGAACAAGTTATCACTCTCAGTACTCACCTCATTAGTAACTGAAAGAATCGACAGTGCAGAATCACAGTACTTCAGTGCATTGTTTTTCTGGCCAAGATCTTTATAGCACTGAGAAGAAAAAACATTTTGTTTCCAATCAGACCACTGTAAGAATACCAGGGTCTACAAATCATTGTTTTTAAAAGAACTTGGTTACCTTTGCCAAATACACATAATTGTATTTGGAATATCCTGGATGCATTTCTTCTGCCTAAATAATAAAAAACAGGAAAGAAAATAGACATAAAACTTGTGTGATGAGATTTATGTGGTCTGCATACCACAAACATCAGACTGAATCATCCCTACTGTGTGCACTGCTGTTTAGCACTTAAAAAAAAACAAACCTCAAGAAAACAAGAAAACCCAAATTCAAACCCTAAACTAGGCACATGAGGTGCTGATACTGAACACAGAAATCTTCTGTAGTCCTCTCCCTAAGTGTTTTGTAAAGATACCGGGTCATTCTATAGAATATCTATTTGATTAATTCACTTACACAGTGGGTTGTAAGACACTGATCTCTCTAGATTATTAATATTTATTTCCTCATATAAATATAGCAATCAACTATAGAAATAAAAAAGCAACCAACCATTCATGCTTTGTGTAAAGGGGTATGAACTGTATTCATCAACTTTATAATTACTTTTTGTTCACAGACCCATATCTTCTAGCTCTAGGTACATCTTTCTTTCCACATTACCATCTGCTGAAAAGTTCAGGTTGTTACATAACTTCAAGATTGTCTTCCTTTTAAAACACATCAAGGATGTAGAAGCTTGAACCATGAGAATTTTAACAATTATCTACTAACCAAGAAGCAGCTTTAATCAACAAACAGCTTTTGAGAGAGGAAAAATACTATCAGTGAAACTTATAGTAGCTGTAATCCTTGGACCAAAGCAATTCTGCTTTCACCACAACTGTGTATTATCAAACAATTTAAAAAAAAACCCAACCAGCTGTCTTTTACGCATGAATTTATTTTTTGTTGCAGAAGAGGACTTAAACCCAGTTATTCTGCAGGCCACCACAAAATGCCCTGAAGCTAAAGTGAACATTTCCAATTATTTCTACTACCTCTGGAGTTTGACCTTAAAGATAAAAATCTGGGAAGATGGTAACACATTGTGTTGTCAAAAATTCAGGAGACCATTCCATCCTTAAACAGACTAAAACCACAGAAAATAAGCACTTTTGATAGTGAAGAAAGTATGCTTGCCCAATTCCTTTGAGAGTTTGCAATGATGGGAGTTTATGCTTTGAATTCAGTCAAGTGAAAAACTTGTATTTTTCAGCTCCAGATTTAGAAATCATTCATATAAAAGACACCGAAAGACAGATTTATTTTACTCATGTGGTGTCTTCTCATAACTGTGCATTGAAGTAGAATGGCCAGGAACATGGACCTATGTGACAAGAGTTTTCAACTTCATTAAAAAAGGTAATTTCATCTCCCCAAATAAGAAAGGCTTCTACTAAATTGAACGGAAAGAGCTTCAGATGAGATCATAAATAAAGGAGGTGATCCTGCCCCTCTACTCTGCTCTTGTGAGACCTCACTTTGAGTATTGTGTACAGTTCTGGTGTCCTCAACATAAAAAGGACATGGAGCTGTTGGAGCAAGTCCAGAGGAGGCCACGAGGATGATAAGAGGACTGGAGCACCTCCCGTATGAAGACAGGCTGAGAAAGTTGGGGCTGTTCAGCCTGGAAAAGAGGAGGCTGCATGGAGACCTCATAGCAGCCTTCCAGTATCTGAAAGGGGCCTACAAGGATGTTGGGGAGGGACTCTTCATTAGGGACTGTAGCGATAGGACAAGGGGTAATGGGTTTAAACTTAAACAGGGGAACTTTAGGTTAGATATAAGGAAGAAGTTCTTCACAGTGAGGGTGGTGAGGCACTGGAATGGGTTGCCCAAGGAAGTTGTGAATGCTCCAACCCTGGCGGTGTTCAAGGCCAGGCTGGACAGAGCCTTGGCCAACATAGTTTAGTGTGTGGTGTCCCTGCTCATGGCAGGGGGGTTGGAACTAGATGATCTTAAGGTCCTTTCCAACCCAAATCATTCTATGATTCTATGATTCTATGTCAAAGTTTTCCTTGATTATGTTAGCCCTCTTACAGAAACGGGCAAATCACTGGTTATTGCTGTGGTTAATTTGTTTCAACAGCATATATAACTCAGCTACATTGTTCTCACACTAAATCCAATAACTATTGATCATGGCAAGTCATTGAAAAATTCCATAAAACTAAAGAAATAGAAGAAAAGTGCTAGCCATTCATCTGCAAACTAATTTTAAAATAGAAAAGAAAAAATATTTTAGTAGAGAGCTCTGTAGTATTTAGGAGAGCCCAGGATTTATAACTACCGAACATAATCTGTTAAGCAGACATCTTGACAACAGTCACATATAGCAGCTGGTAAACAGTCACATAGGAAAATCCTTGGCTAGGACTTACCTTAAGGAAATTCTGCAATGCTTCTTCTACTGTTGAAGTTGGTGGAGTCCCAAAGAGAGTGGCAGCTACTTTCTTTTCAATCCAAGACAACTGAGCTACCTATAAAAATATATATATATATTTATGTTCTTTTGAGAGAGAGATATATATCTCAAAAGTCTTTAGGCTTGCTACTCAGTTTCGGAATTAATACTGTCCTGTGTCACTGTACTATTTATACAACCTATTTTGCAAAAGAACCTGTAAAGGAATGTTTTATACTGGCCATTTGCCAAAGCACAGTCTTTTAGATTTTTCAATTCTATTAACAGGAAAATGTACATATTAAGAAACACACGACTAAACACCAGCATCATTAATATGAGATTATTCCAACGTATAAAGCTTAAAGTACAGTTTAGGTTTCATAAGGCCTTGCAGTATTTTAAAACCTAAGGCCAGAAACAGTGCTTTAAACCTGCTGAGGTTTTCATGAGACATTCAGTTTAGCATGATAGTCCATATACTTGACTACTTTTCAACATTACGAAATGCTATTGCTACAGTCAAACTGTAAGTGCTTTTGGCACTTGTAAAACAAGTTCATTTATTACACAGAAGCTAGTGACAACCACTGTTAAGAAACAGGGTTCACATTTTCCTCTTCAAATCTGACAAATAACACTTGCCAAAGACCTCATTTCATGGGCTGCTATAGTAGGAGTTCAGGGTACTGTGACACACAATGTATGTGACTTCTTCTTTTACATGTACTGACAACTAACAGAAACTGCTCTGGTTACTGCCATATGGAATTTGGCTCCCTCACCAAACCTGGTGAAACACACCTCACATCTCTAATGAAGGATGGAGCTGCTAGGAAATGCAGTATGAGACTGGACCCTGTTTAAACAGGGAAGTGAAGCCACGCTGGTTCAGATACTTTACTACATCTGTAAAGAAAAGTCCGGATTTTATTCCTTCACATCAGTATTTGAACCACAGCACTGATGGCTCCTGTCACAGAGTACAGCTGAGATTAAAAATGAGAAAAAACAAGGTTCTGTAGCAATTTCTGGCCTGATCTATGCAGAGGCAACTCAGAGAAGGGATACACAGGCAAAGAATGAGAGCCTCTCATCGGAGAGCTGGAGGTGAAATATGAGTCACAGAAACAGCTCTTTTTCAGAGGAAACTGCAATTCAAATAAGAGAGTTGAGCCTTGAACTCAAATCTGTCCTACTGCTGTAAAAATTAAAGTGGTTTTGGATAGCTTTAGTTTATTCCCGCCTCATTCCCTGGCTTCCCAGTCTTGTCAGGGCTGTTGCTGCTCCATCCACCTTCTCCAGCTAACTGCAGCAATCCAGTAGATGACAGTTAATTACAGTAAAATATAAGAATCCATCCACACATAACTACCCACAGCTATTCACCAGAATGCTTTTCTTTTAAAGAGACATCAAGCTCTACGTATTTGTTGCAAACTGCCCCAAAAATGCCATTGCAGTGAGTACAAATACAGGCCAGCATGCAACAGGAAAATGCATAGGACTGTTTTTCCATCTGGCCCAAGTGTCTCTACCTATATAAGACAAACATCGCTTGGAGACAGAAGGGATCCTGGTCAAGTCTCGCTGCTTGTTCCGCAGGGTCCAATGTCTTATTTGTTAAATGCCAAGTAAGTCTTTCCCACAAAACCACTAAAAATTATATGCCAGAGAGAAACAATATTAAGGAAGCTTGCTTTAATTCTCTCTCTCACACATATCCCACTTTGAATTCTCTTCTAAGGGAATAAAGTGTGGTTTACAAACGCTCTCCAACAATCCCACAGTTCTTATTCATCGAAGCAACAAGATGTTTCCCCTCTCTGCACCGCGGTGCTTTCATACTCTGTTAAAAACTGCAGCATAGAATGCTGCTTAGGAAGCATGCTGGTTAAAACTTCAAATTGTAGGTATGTATATAATTCCTTCGTGCACTTCATTTCCCTAGCTGTTCTATAGATTCTAGGGCATATTCCACAAGAAATATTAAAAGGATTTTTGCAAAAGTATTGTTTTCTTCATGTCAATCTACTGCTGCAGGATTCTTTTGGAAGAGGAAGGGGTTTTCTACATTTCTAGGTCCATCACATCAAGATAGAGGCAGCTTACAGATGAAGGAAGAGAGGGGAAAAAATAAAGGGAATGCATATGTGCATACACGGAGCAGATACAATTACCACACATGTGTCTGCTGTTATGCAATAGTGAGGAAACAAAATTGCAGTTTTTCCATGTGGAGTTACAATTACCTATTGAAAACACACGTTCTTCCTGGCAGTTGTTTTCTTTTCTTACAAGATTTAATCAGAACTGATTTACTGAGGTTTTAGTCATTATTTTGTCTGGCTTGGGTGCTGTTTTGCACTATTCAAACTTTTAAAAGCCCAAACATACATGCACTTGGCCATTTTTATATTACAAATCCCACCAACCTAAAACAACGTTTAAAAGTGAAATGCATCTTTGTACAGTAGTGAGTTTTCTGTAATGTGCACTGGGTATAACATTATACTTTGTGACTATTACACAGATAGCCTGAGAGTTCCCAAATGTTTTAAGCAGTTAGCCTTATATGCCACTGGCTTAATGCATTCATTGCAGCTAACTCTAGCCATCCATAAATGAAGTGCCTCCCTTATGTGAGTTCTCCATGCTCCTTGCATGGTCAATACAGTGAAAGGCATTTCCATCAATTAGGCATCACCTACGTTAGACTGGGATGAACTCTCATCTCTTTCTCTTCTTTCTTTCCTTCAACTACAAAAGGAGCATAGACAATTGTACCTTGTGGAAGCCTAAAGACAGAAGAGGTGAATCCCATCACAACAGCTGAACCACACCCCACCTGAGTCAGTCTGCACCCTCCTATGACTGAGGTGGGACAAATGGAAAAGACCTGTTTTGTGCAAGACACAGAATTGTGTCCTGGAGCAACAATGATGAACAGGAAATTACACCCTTTGCCTAAACACACACAAGCACAGTCTGTAATTTGTAATAACTTTATTAAGAGTATCTTACGCCACATTCAGTGAAATGGAAACATCATTCCTACTATACCAACTAACTTTATTAAGCATTCTCTGTGTGGAAGCAAGCACAGGCAACAGAAACCTTGGTGTAACATGCTCTAGTGTAGTGCAAATTTGACTTCTACAGTCAAGGTTGTTCTAAATAGTGCAAACCATATCTGGAACTCCATACAAAATCAAGAACCACGAGACTGTAACTCTCATCAGCTTCAGCAGAACCATGATTTCACTTAATGCAACTTCCAAGAATGGTATAGGACAGCAGAAAATAATAAGAAAAGCAGCGTCTCGAGCAAGTAATAGTTACAACAACAACAAAATTAAAGAATGAAGATTGTCCTTGCCCTACAGATGATTTCCAAACCTAAAGTGAGTTTTTGTTTTTTAGGTCTCCCAAGTCCTGACGTCAGTCCCCCCGACAGCCGGAAAATTCACAATAGCGCTGCAAGGAACATTGTGTTTCCACAGAATATCAGGTTTTAATTTATTGGGTCACACGAGGAACATTGCTCCCCAGCTGCCACGAGGAGAGCTGGTCCCACTCTCTCAAGAATGAAAAACAATGGCATGAGGGACCTTCAGCCAAGTCCTGGACTTCCCCAGGGCTGGAGGGGAGGGCATGACCATGACAGCCTGGCTTCTGCCAACGAGAGGAGGCCACTTTTCAGTATCCCAAAGCTAATGGAGATGCTTGTCTCAAGGTTTCTTGTATACATCTGTCAAACAGCAAGCTCTCATCCATTTATTCTACTCAAATCTCTACTAGTACCAAAGATGGAAGAAAGCCATCCACATAGTTAACATGCAGCTGACTGTAAAGTCTGTACCCAGCACACTCCTATCAGGCCTCTTGTTCCTCTGAAGACCAAGACAGAAAATATTGTTCTCCCCTAAGTACTGGGAAAAGGGATTTCCTAACACCCCTTTCACTTCCTTAGCCTAGGATCAGCAAAAATCACATATGAACCAAAACAATGGTTGGAGTTTGTTTGGTTTTGTCTTCTCATCTTTTGATGAGATGCAAACCCTGCTCATTGACAGCTCTTTAAAAATTCTAGGACATTGGTACCAAGGAAACTAACCCACTTGGATTGAAAATTCAGCCAGGAGTGACTTATAGCCCTAAAGGATTTCCTCCTCCAATGTTTCCTTGCTAACAGCTCATTGAAGAAAGATCACACAGTTGTCTTTCATAAAGGAAAATCATCCCATTGATCCAGCTTCAGTAAAATATTAATGGCATGTACTTAAATATCCCCAGAGAGTTTCTATTTCTTTTTCATTACAATATATTAATGTAAAATTATATTAAATAATTATGCAATGTTTTGACTTCTGGAAGTGATTAAGTAACTGGACAGCAGTTTTCAAACACTGGCTTCCAACACAAATATTCTCTTTCTTGCCAGCTGAGGAACCAGGACAGTCTGCACAGGCATTTAGGCATTTATACAACTTGAATTCCCTGGTCTTTTCACTTTCCAGTAAGAGCAGCAGACTTACAGAGCACACAGACAAAGGAACCGAGACAATTTGTTCCCTGATATACAGATACTGGATACTGATGCATCCAACACATGGCATGTAACCATCAAAAAGAAAATCCCAAGAAATCTAATTTTTCACATCCCACTAGTCTTTACCAGTGGCTCTGATCCAGTTTCAGAAGTACTCGCTAACTGTTCTGTGCAGTCCTGTAACAGCAGGTAGCCAGAAGTCTTAACTAGATACATCCTCCATTTTAAAAGCTATTCTAAACATTAAGATACTAAAAAAGCCCACAAACACACAATTATAAAGGATTATTAGATAACTGCACTCAAAACTCTAACGAAAGAAAACTAACTCCTATGGACTATGCACCCCAGATAATTCACTTCCAATAAATACTTCTTGCTGCTCTGAGAGTGAAGTAGTTTTTACTTTCCCTTAACAAAGCTGAAACTGGAAAGGCTCTAAACACTGTACTTATTTTAAATCATTTGAACCAACCTAAGCATATATTTAAACTATTATGCCTTCCCTAAAAGATATGCAATTAACAAAGCCTGGTTTTGTCACAGAAGGCCAAGCAAAGTTTCTTCCACTATCAAAGACATTTTAAATGAAAATTATTCTGCTGCAGTTGCTTTTCTTTGGAATAGTAACATTTCATTTACATACTAAACACTGGTTTACTCTGCTTACTAGACATTTTAAACTATCTTCACTGCCATACCATTGCTCTTTGCAAAGGACTGCGTTACACTCAGGAAGGTGAGAAATGGCAGTCAGAGCCAAATTCTGACAAAACTCCACAAATCAAATAGTTTTTACTAGTACAGCACACAGCCTCTGGAAAGAGGTTTCAGCCTTCAATAAACCTCCATTTGTCCCCACCATACTTTTAATTTTTAACCTAAAAGCCTGTTCAGCTGATTGTTATTTGTGAAAATAAACTGGAACTTTGAGTTGCAACACTTGAAGCATCAGTCTTTTATGCTATACTTATTTTTTTTCTTTCCGTTTGTGAGCCCAAAAAACAGTGCTAGAAGGTAGTAATAAGATCCCCCAACATTAAACAGGGAATGAATGGGAAATATCTGACTCTACTAGGAAGACATCAGGTTTCCCCAGTACATCAGGTTTCCCCAAGGTGTTATCAAAGCCTGTAAAATATCAAACACTAGTTATCTTTTTTAATTAAGCTGCTTCAGTAAAAGAGTATGTGACTAAAATTAAACAGTAAAACCCGTGGAAGCAACACTTATGAAAGAAGAAATATTGTGGCCAATCCTAACTTGATCCCAAAGTCAGCTAGACTAAATGTAAAAACTAACCTTCTTTCCTCAGTCATCCCTTTTTCTTCTTTAATTTCCTCACACTGGACAACACAGCCTTCCCAGCCTCAACCGCAGCCAGAAATGAACAGAAAAAACAGGGTCTAAGAGGAGCATTATCACTCCATCTACAGGTACCAGTACATAGAAGGAGTGATAAATCAAGTTTTCAAGCACCCTATCATAATCCCACATAATGTATTTGGAACTAATGCCACAGCCAAGAGTCTACTTCTGGGATAGTTACCACAGCATGAAACATCACAGTCTACAGAACAGGACCAAGGAATTTGACTCATCTCCCACAAGTTCTTACAACTAGAGACATCAGATGTGCAGCCAAAACCTGTGTTAGAGGATCAGCACAGAAACCTACTCATGCGACCTGCTAAAACTAATGAGGATATGATTCTATGATCACCAGCTTCACCAGGCTAGGATTAAGATCTAGCTTCCATAGTGACTCAAAACTCCTGCTACTGAAAGCGTGCAAAACAAAGTAAGTTTTTAAGAGCTGATAGCCATGGAAGTTAAACCAAAACGTTATTCAGTCCTATACTTGCATTTATTTGTACTATGAAAATCTGTTTTAAGTGTTTCAAGTTACATTTTGTCATGGCAGTCAGTCATAGAAGGCAAGAATTAAAAAAAAAAGAAAATCAGAAATCAATCCTCAAGTATTTCAGTGGCTACATCTGGTTAGGTAGATCGTTTCACTTAATAAAATGCAGGTCAGGTCATACCCTAAAGCAAATGCTAATCTATGGCTTTAATGCTCAGTAAGGAAGCCCTGCACAGACGTTACAAGCATGGAACATGAGTTTGTAATGATAGAGTGCAACAAACTACATGCATTACTCAGTCAGGAAGTGGCGATTGTCACTGAGATGAAACATGAGTTAAAACCCAGTGTAACAAGAACAAAGCGAGGTAAACTGCAACTATATGTTAAGTTTCCAGAAGTTACAGCTCAAGTGAGAAATAAGCCATGAAAAATATCTGGGAGTATTTGATGTAAATGGAAGCTGCATTCAGCTGCTGGACACAATACGGTATAAAATTGATTAAGGAATCACTAGTGAGAGAGATGCTCTTCAGAGGCACAGCAAGCATATTATAGGACAATCTTCAGCAACTCACTTTTGCATAGCTAATGCTGATATTTAAGAATACTGTGCGATGAAAAGCAAAATTAAAAGCTTTTTGAAAAAGTTGGTGTCATTCCTTATTCAAATCAACTGAGAAAAAATGTAGTTGTCGAAAGTTCTTTGAAAGTTAAATGTATGATCTGAAAAAGCTGCTGAAAGATTACTTCACATTAAGTCTGCTGCAGATAAAGACAATGTCTGTAACGTATCACAGCAACTCCTTTCCAGTCTGCAGGCTCTTTGTAGTGACTGGCATTGAGAGCAGCTATAGGGAAAAGGCAGGGCTGGAATTCACTGCACATTAGGAGTTATTACTCTCAGACACCTCCCAGTGATCTTTTACAGCATAGGCTATGCAAGAACATTTTCTTCTGATGAAAGATTCCTCACAGCAGTAAAGATGGACCAATAAGGATAGCCATCTGAGCCATCAAAGATGTGAGCTTCAGAATAACCCAACTTATATTACAAACACTGTTTTTCTAAAGATAATAATAAAATTAGTCCACAGATAAATTTGTAAACCAATTATTTTAGTTTTTCATATATAAGCACTTATCACTATGTCATTAATACAATTTTTAAAAGCCCTTGTTGTGTTGGCATAGTGAAAATTGTATCTCTTGCATAACATTTGGATGAATTAGATATTTTTATGCCTGCATCTTTGTTGTGACATTCTCCTGGAATTTACCAAGCCAGTGTAGTAGCCTTGCTGCCACAGACATAATCCCATGGGATGTAAATACCTTTAACTTCAGTTATGGATGGGGAATAAAGTTACTAAAAGGCTATGTTACCAGAAAGTTTGAGGGAGAACAAAGAACTGAAATGAAGAAGTCACCCTTCCTCCCTTCCAAATATCAGTTACTTTTCATTCATACATTCAGGTAAGAATTGAACACAACAATGAGGGACACACAAGCACAGCTTAAGGAATGATCAGCAGTTAACATCAGACATGTGGAAGTTAATTTGGGAAATGTAAATGTACTGCTTCATTTAGCTCAAAATATCTACTTCAACAAATACCTACATTGTCTCAAATCCCACTATTTCATTTCAAATGCATCATCACTTTTCAGTATACTCAATTCATATGTTAGATAAAAAAACAACTTACTGAATAGCACCATCTTCCATTAAGGTAATATAAAAAAGGATCTTGAGGCTTAAGTTCAATTGCTTTGTCTAGGTGCTCCTGTTAGAAAGAAAATGAGTGTCACTTTCGATGTTTGTTTGACAAGTGTGTTTACATTCTAGGAAGTTTGCTGCAAATCATAAACAAATTGAGAAATTCCCTTCTGCTGCAATTCTTTTCTAACAATGGAAAAACATTTCAACTGGCAAACCCCTTCCTCGTGGAGGGAAACCACAAACAACATTATTTAGCAACTTTGCACACAATGCAAGAAGGCATGCTGCATTTAAAACATGACTACACAGCTCTAAAGGCCACTGAAAGAACTCAAGAACTTTTGTCTTAAAAAGGCAACAACTCCAATTAAATTCACTTTATTTACAGTTAGTATTAGGAAACTGTCACACACCAAATCAGTGAGAAAGCAACCACTCTCTTTGACAGATCTTGATGCCAGCACCCATCACTGAAGCACAGTCTCTTCTACCTCGGAACGTGACTGCCTCAGTGAAATGGTAGATGACATAGGAAATTGTTACTATAATGTGAAATTCAGAAATAAAATGGTTCTATTTATAGTGAAACCATAATACATAGAAAGTATCTAATGAGGTGCTTCTTCCAAAACCATTTTCATTACATATCATGAGTATCTTTCTTTCTCTAATGTACTAAAGAAAGCTCGTATTGCTTGACCTGAGTTCAAAGAGAAAAGAAATACATTATTTCACCCCTAACTATGATTTGCTGCTCAAAATAAATTTCACTTCTAAGGTTTCATCCCCCCCACCCCCAGCCCCGATATCTCTATTTTTCTAATTAAGGCAGTCACTAAAATATCTGAGTAATACAGATCTAAGAGCCTACTGTTTTATCATTTTGTCCACAAAATATTCAGATAGGAGCTGTGTTTTCATGCTATTATTTCCCCAACATTCCCAAATGATTCACACAGATTTCAGTAATTATTTGTGAAGAGGAAAACCTCCCTGAAAAGGCTACTGCTAACACTGCAAGCTGTTTTAAAATTCTTTCCTTAAACAACTGCAGCACTTGTGTTATTTGTCATTTTCCCTTCGTTGTTCCCAGCTTGTCCCAGTACTCAGAGCTTAACTCTCTTGGCACAGCTCATGTATAATTAATGCTCTCTTGCAGGAAAGCTCCACGACACTCCAAGCCTTGACACGGACATGATGTGATAGGGACACATCCCTGGCATACCCTAGGAAGTGGAACACATCTGCTGCCTTTCACTGACACCCAGAAAGGGGGGATGCTGGCTGGGAGGGCAAGGGATGGAAAGCGCCTAAGCAATGCCAAGGACAAGGAGTGGGGGGAGTAGCACATGTAACACAAACTGCTAACTCTAAAAACCACAATTACCTTCGAAAAGACAGTGTTAAAACAAATATTACTTCTTAAGGGTAGCATGAAGGATGATTGCAAAACTGTGTTAGCTCACCACTTAATACTTCATGTTTTTATTTTCTAACCAGAATTGTTACTCCCTTTTCCTCCCCCGCTTTTGACTACAAAATAAAAAAAATCTTAATGCTGCTCCCTGAATCCTACCTGAATTCTTATATTTTGTAAGCATATATTTGCATACATAAAGATGTCTTTCTCATTTTTACATTGACACCAAAATAGACCTGTGAGGCTGAATTACTGTGTTGGAAAAATCTGTCTTTGACTATATAAGGAAATAATTTAAAGGAAGAGCTTAAAAAAACCACAAAACCCTACAAAAACATACCTTAAAGAGATAACCATTCCTGATTTTGTTTTGTACACTTTCAAACTGAGACATATAGCCACACATAATTGCAAACCTGAGAGGGGAAAAGAAAAACACACACACATACTTTTCATGATTTAAATAAAGCTTTAAATCAAATTACAAAATATTTCATTACCTAATTCACAGATTAACAACTTTCTTTCATCTTGACGGCTGGATAGAAGTTTGGCATGAGTGGTACATAATTCAGGAGCAGACAAAAAACAAAACAGAAAACAGAACAATAATGGAAATGAGAAGAAATTTAAATGACACTATTTGGGCTGTCAGTGAAGCGATAAAACAGGGATTTCTCCTCCAAATTTCTACCATTTAGTTCAGAGTGCGACACTTGCAGCCTGGTTCTGCACTGACAGCAGTTTAACTGGACAGGCTGTGCTCTGCAGTGCTATGCGCTGGGATAGTGAACACCATCACTGTTGGTACCTCACCCGGGAAGGCAAACCCTTGGGGCACGCTCAGCAG